TCCATGGGTATGCCAGCACTTTGGTGTCCTGTTAGGTAATCCTTCATCTTTTAGGCATCCTGGGAATATACTCTCTGTAATCCTGATAGTACTGTAGGAGAGGTACAAAACATTCCTGACGTCCCTAATGGACAGAGCCACAGCGACAATCAAACCCTCTTGGATCGCCCCGTACCTGGAAGAGGTAATCTCCCGGGGGGACGTCAGTAATGTCGATCCACTGGCAGTCGATGTCATGGCGGTACACGTCCCAGCATCCCACCGTGATGCCCTGCTCACCAAAATTGGCGCATTCGTACTGTTTTTGCACATCTAGAGGGAGAAGAGTGAAAGGCAGGAAGCGTTAGGGTCACAGCAGGGCGGGCTGGGCATTCCTCACCCGCGGACACGTCCGAGGAGGGCGAGTTGCTCCCCGACTCCCCGAGATAAGCTACAGGCAGAGTGTTCTGGGTGAGGTGTAACACAGCAGCGAATCACTCGGTGTCTTGTATCGGCACAGATGTGCTGCTTGAGAGCACGGGGGGGGCCCATTGCCTTCCGCACCTCATCCCCAGGGGCACGATTTGGAATTTCTCACTTCCCAGGAATCAGAAAATGCGCCTGTCAGCTTCCAGAGCAGTAAGTAAGTGTTAGTAACTCCTTACACTTCCAGAGCAGTAAGTAAGTAACTCCTTACACTCGGAGTAAGAGTGTAAGGAGCCGAGGCCTGAGACCCTCAGCATCTGGGGCCCTTTGGGGATCCTCTCGCACCTGCAGAGACCAGTCCGTGCACACGCAGCCTCGGGACTGGCCTCTGGCTCCTGCCAGGCCACATCCCAGCCCTGCGCAGGACGTCGCCAGCGTCCCTGCGTGGGGACAACAACGCGTCCCCGGCACCAAGGGCTCTGGCCAACGTACCTGCTTCGCATTCGGTGTCTTCCAGGCAGAAGCTGGCTTTGTGTCCCTCGGCCACCTTGGTTCCGTTGAGGTTGAGGAGGTCGTAGTGGGTGAACACCTCCATGCTGTGGTAATGCCTGCAAGGCACAGGGAGAACAGACACCGTTGGGTACCAGGGCTGACGGGTGCAGCTGCCCAGCAGCGAGGGCCAGGGCACAGCGTGGATGCGAGCACCCAGGCTCTTTGCCGCTGCATCCCTCGGGCCATTTCATAGATGGCTTTAGGTTCATTTCATGGTTTAGGTTGGAAAAGACCTTTAGGGTCACCGAGTCCAGCTGTCAAACCACCGCTGCCGCGCCTACCCCCACATCCCCGAGCACCACATCCACACTGTCAAATCCCTCCAGGGATGGTGACTCCACCACTTCCCTGGGTAGCCCCTATCAATGCCTGACAGCCCTTTCCATGATGAAATTGTCCCTAATATCCCATCTACATCGCCCCTGGAGCAACTCGAGGCTGCTTCCTCTTCACCTGGGAGAAGAGACCGACCCCCCCCCCCCCACCCTCCTCTCAGGGAGTTGTAGGGAGCCATAAGGTCTCCCCTGAGCCTCCTCTTCTCCAGGCTGAACACCCCCAGCTCCACTCCCCACGAGAATTGTGCTCCAGGCCCTTCCCCAGCCCCACGGCCATGGGGTGAACACACAAAACCACGTGGGAAGCCCCACGAGCCGGCAGCGCCGTGGGAGTTGGAGCGAGGAGCAACACAGCTGGGAAACATTCCCCTGGGCAGAGTCCCACGTGGCACTGTGGCCCGTGCCGCCTTCACGCCGGCTCCTGGCCCGCGTATTTGTTTACACACCGAGTGCTAAAGCTGCGCCGGGGGAGAGCCTTGCCCCAGCCCTCGCAGGAGCACACCACGTTCTGTAATGGCAAGGCAGGGAAGAGAAAACCCAAAGCCACCACCAGCCAGGCTGTCGTTCCCAGCGGCCTGTCACCCCAACAGGGAATACTTCACCTGCTCCATAACACCAGGCTGCAAACAGAGCCGGCTGTACCCGGATCAGCAACCCTGTTATTTTTGTTATTTATTTACTTAGAGGAAGCAGAATGTAATTTTACTGGCAGAAAACTATCAACAGATGGAACCAGCGTCTCCCAGCATTCCCTCCACCCCACTCCCAACAAGCCGACAGCTGGGTGCACACACGGTCTCCATCTGAACGAGGGAAGCATCAGGGTCAGCTCCACCTGGGCTCTCCTGGGATGCTTCAGCCCTGTGGGTGCAGCAGCAGTTTGGGGGGAGCACAGTCTGTGCTGCAGCCCCCGAAGCGGCAGGGTCAGCCCACAGCAGGGCTTGGGGTGATGCTGACATCTGGAACGTGGGCCTTTGCTGGGCCACGCTGCTGGTTCAGCAAAGAGTTAACCCTGTGCTCCAGTCCCGTTGGAAGTCCATGGGATCTGCAGAGCCGGAACCAGATGGAAGCACCCGACACACGGTTGTGGGCTCCACGTGGTCAGGGCTGGGCGCATGAGGGTGGTGATGCTGATGCAACACACGGGATTTGATCCCAGCCTCGGAATCGGCAAACCCACAGCGTGAGCACATTGCAGGGATGGGAGAGCAACCACGGTGCTGAGAGCCCTTAAATCCTTGCCCCTCTCCCCCGAGGAAGGCCGAGACACGCCACAGCCCGTCTGCAGAGCTCGACTGAGGGGTGAGGCAACTGCACGGACAAGCCCGGATTCAAAAGCTGTTGCTTAGGAGTTCAAAAAGCACAGAAATCCTCACCCTTCCAGCTGTAAAAATAATCAAGGCTTCAAAACTTCCAGCCAGCACCGTCGCAGCACCACTCTGCGCACACACTTACAGATAAATGAGCAGCAAGGAGGGAAGGGGAGAAATTTTTTTTCCCAGGGAATGGATTTCTTACCTCCTCCTGCCTTTTCCCTAACCCAAAAATCCTGTCCTACTTCTGCTCTACTCCCCCATCCCAAGCCAACGGAACAGGGGCTCCCGGTGGTGGAGCGAGGCGTTGGGAAAGGGGCGGCATCCTGCAGCGGCTGAGCCGTTGCCTTTGAGGCTAAGTTGGCTGCCTCTGATGAAAGTTTGAGGTTCTCAAGTCTGACTCAGGTTCTGAAATATGTCTGAATCATTCAGAGAGGTGTTTACATTCTGCTGTTTACAGACTGGAAAGACTGAAGTGGAATTGAGTTCATTCTCCTTATAAACAGAATCCAGCTTAAAGCTCCCAGATGGCTCTCGGCCTCATCCTGATCCTTTCCCAGTCTCACAGTCTCTCCCAGAGAGCTCCAAGTGCCCTTTTTAACCAGCCTGCGACGTGCTCAGAGCCTTGTGCTACCCACGTGTCCCCCAGGCCCTTCCCAACAGGGCCAGAAAGGCAGGTAACTGCACCGGTCTGGGGTTCCCCCTCCCCTAAACACCCCGTGCTCCGTTCACCCGCGGTGCTGTGCTGCTGAGGGCTTCGCTCTGCTTGTGAAGACGATAAAGGACTGGTAGATTGGAGAAATCTACCAAATTTACAGCTCTGATGTTTCCACAAAGCAAAAGCCTTACAACAGGCAGGACAAGAGCTGTGTATTGTTACTTAGCTCTCTTTTACCCCAAAGGAGAGAAAACCAGCCTTCATTTCCAAAGCAAAACAGCTGGGTGGCCTAGTTCCAGCTCCCTCTCCTCCCCCTGGATTTACTCTGCCCAAAATGGTCAGCTTCCCCCTGAAAAACGAGGCATTTATGGGGGTGAGTTTACTGAGTTTGTTCAAAATAAGTGCAAAACAATCTCCCAGCTGTACGCAGATTAAGCGGAGCCGAGATGCGTTTAAAAAAGGCAGAATTATGGGGTGTCCTCGAGCCCTTTTCCAGGTGAGGGAGGTGGCTGCAGGTTTCTGCAGGCAGAGGGTACGCAGGCACACGGTTCCTTCTGCCTGTGCATGCACACGCTCTGTGTACACGCTGCCCTTGCACACACACCTCTCCCAACGAGGGCTCCAACTCTGCCTTGCTCATACACC